AAATTCACGAAAGATACGTAAACTAAATTTTTTTTTTAAATTTCTTTTTTTGCGACGAAATAAAGTAAAAGAGTCAAAATTAGCTGAAATGGCGATATTAAACCTAAACTAAATATTTTACGCTAACAATATGTAAAATCTTGGGGAGGGTCAATAACCACATGTCTACAGCTGCCCCTCTTTGATTGGAAACGCGAAGAGTTTTCAGACAAAGAATGACTAGACATGTTTTTGACCCGACCCTTATTTAGGAAAACCGAAAGCTAAAAGAAAGGAGAATGTGACCGAGCTCTGGTATCTAAGCTGCCTACATATCGTTGGCTATAAAGGAATTAGGCCACGTGTAGTTCAGAAATGAATGAGGTGATGGAGTCTGTGAAGAGGATGAGAGAGTCGGGTGAGGTTCCGTCCGAGGCTCCGGTCCGCGGTCCCTTTATTACATCAAAATCACTAATGAAAAAGACTAACTAAGCCTATCAGCTACGAGTTACAAGATTCCTATCTATGAGTCCTCTGAAGCTTGATCTTGGGTCTTGGTTGGTTCTTCATGCGGACCTGATCTGAATCTTGATGCTTGTTAGTTGCAGGTGTTGGTTCAATCTTCTTCAGCTTTTCAAACCAAGACGGGACATGCAGAGCCTGTGAACTCAGCCCTGTCTTGAGCAACTCACATCTTCCATTAACTTCTGTATTTGGATTCACTTTTTTTTCTTTTCTTCTTTTTCTTTATTCTGGATTGAGACTCATTCTTTTGGTCATCTCGAATCCTGTGCCTTGAGGTAAAACCTGTTCAGACACCAAAACAAACAAACGAACGAAATTTTCTGCCCCAGTTTTCACTAGGAAAATTTCGTGAGTTATTTGCAACAAAATCTAATTTTTTTTTTAAAGCAAATAAAATAAGGATTGTATCTATCTAGAAGGGAAAAGATCAGGGGATGGAGCCCTATATCTAAAATGTCAACTCAGGGATTGGAGCCCTAATGTTGGCGAAAAGGCGACTAGGGAATGGAGGCCCTATGTCTAAAAAGCTCAATTCAGGGATTGGAACCCTAATGTTGGCAAAAAGGCGACTAGGGAATGGAGGCCCTATGTCTAAAAAGCTCAACTCAGGGATTGGAGCCCTAATGTTGGCAAAAAAGGCGACTACTAAATTGTGTACTTATGCTAAAATGAACCAAGTAAGGAGTTTTTTTTCCTCGTTTTTTTACTTTTAGTAAAAAACAACAGTTTTTTTTTGAGTAAAATCAGTCTTTTAAACAAATTTCTCAAACGCGTTTTTTTTTCAATCGAGACATCCTTTTTTTTTTCAAATTATCCTAGGAGAGAATTCGTCAGACTAGGTTTTCTATCTTAGAAGAAAGATTCATCAGACTAAGATTTCTATCCTAGGAGAAAATTCATCAGACTAGGTTCTCTTTTTTGATTATCTTAGGAGAAAGATTCATCAGACTAAGATCTCTATCGTAGGAGAAAGTTCATCAGACTTGGTCTTCTATCTTAGGAGAAAAATTCATCAGACTAAGATTTTGATCCTAGGAGAAAGTTCATCAGACTAGGTCTTCTATCTTAGGAGAAAAATTCATCAGACTAAGATTTTGATCCTAGGAGAAAGTTCATCAGACTAGGTCTCTTTATGGTATCTTAGGAGAAAGATTCATCGGACTAAGATTTCTATCCTAGGAGAAAGTTCATCAGACTAGGTCTTCTATCTTAGGAGAAATATTCATCAGACTAAGATTCTAATTCATCAGACTAGGTCTTCTATCTTAGGAGAAAGATTCATCAGACTAAGATTTTGATCCTAGGAGAAAATTCATCAGACTAGGTCTCTTTTTTTTTCTTTGGTTATCTTAGGAGAAAGATTCATCGGACTAAGATTTTGATCTTAGGAGAAAGTTCATCAGACTAGGTCTTCTATCTTAGGAGAAATATTCATCAGACTAAGATTTTGATCCTAGGAGAAAATTCATCGACTAGGTCTTATATCCGAGGAGAAATATTCATTAGACTAAGATTTTGATCCTAGGAGAAAATTCATCAGACTAGGTCCATTTTTGTTATCTTAGGAGAAAGATTCATCAGACTAAGATTTCTATCCTAGGAGAAAGTTCATCAGACTAGGTTTTCTATCTTAGGAGAAAAATTCATCAGACTAAGATTTTTACTGGGAGGAAAATCCATCAGACTAGGATTTTTATCCTAGGAGGAAAAATGTGAAGATCAATGGAAAGATTTTATGCACAATGGCAAGCTAAATAAAGACAAAGATTTGAAAAACTTCCCTTTGTTGACTCTTCTCTTCTTTTCTTTTTCTTCTCTTTTTTCCTTTTTCTTTTTTTTTCTTCTTTTTTTCCTCTCTTTTTTTTTAATCATTTTCCTTGCACTGCTTTGTACCTGTTTCACACAAAGAAAAATTTGTCAGTTTTGAAAACGGTGGTCGGTTTGTGGCCTTGAGTCTTGGACAGCTTGGCTTCTGCTCAATCAGCTTGAGTCGGTTTCAAGAGACTTTGCTCTGCATCAACCCTAAATTATTCACACTCAGTACCATTTGTATTTGTGGGTCAATCAACCTTATCCAAACTGGAGATCTTTGCTCAGGTGACCTTTTTTGATATCTTGAATGACTTCCTGCTTTTGAGCAATTTATCTATCAGAGAGAATCACCAGTTATCTTTCTTGCGCCAAGTAAGCTGACAAGAGTCTTTTTAGGGAAGCCTTTGCACGAATCCTCAAGGCATGTTGATAGTAACAACTGAGTGCTGGCCAAATTTACTTTATGCAACCGAAAAGCTGGTAGCAGATTTCGAAATCTTTTCTTGCTTGTTTTGAGAAAGACTAACTCAATGTGAAGGACACAATGATGCAAAGAAACAAGTATTAACATGAAATGTCCCTGTCGGATGGACAGAAGGAAGAGCTTTTTTTTTCCTTTTTTTTTCTTTTTCTATTTTTTCTCAATAACTAGCTTTAATGGTCATGACATGCATTTTGGACTCAACGGCCTCATCTATCAAACTGATCCAATCTTCCATTTTGCCATTCTTATGACCTTTGAAGTCGGGCTTGTTCGTGCCAATCCTTCACATCATCTTCACGACTCACTTTCGACTAGTGGTGCCCCAAGGGGTCTTCACCAGCAAGTCTCTCTCATTTGTTTATCTCTGCTTACCGTCATCTTACAGTGCCCGTGAGGGTTTTCACTAATAAGACTCTCTCATTTTTCTTTTTCTTTTTCTTTCCCTCTTTTGTGAGCAACTCGACGGTGTTCTACGTCGTCTGATAACTGTTGCTCATTGCATGCTTCTCTTGGCATTCTTGAAGGCTGATCAGGAGGTCTTTATTTGGAAGGTTTTTGGACAGAGGTGGAAAGAAGGGTTGGCATGAAGGCTCAAAGTAGACACAAAATTAGGGGTTGTAGACTTACAACTCTTGGAATCGACTCTTTAAAAAGTGAAATAAAATCTCTGCCCCAGTTTCAGCTATTGGGGATTTTTTTTTTGGGATTTTTTTATTTGGTTGGATTCTTATTTGGTTGGATCGAACCGTGAGGCTGCCTACGTATCCTTTTTTAAGGAATCAGGTCTAACAAAGTTCAAACATCTGACCTAACTAATTTCATCTTTTTTTTCTCTTTTTTTCTTTTTTTTTTCTATCTTTTTTTTGTTTCTTTTTGTTTTCAAAACCAGTTGCCCCGGCTTCTTTTCTTTTAAGGGCATGGACCTTTGACAATTCTTTTCTTCTTCATTTTTTTTTCACTTGAACTTTCTAAGAATTGACCCAGTTTGTACTCTTGGGACATGGACTTTTTTTTTCTTTTTTTTTTTTGACTCTTGACTCTAAACTTGATTCCAAAAGAAGGTGGTGAAAGAAAATAACGCAGGCTCAAAGGGGTGACAAAGGGTATAAAGTGTTTGGATAGTAGAAAAAGGGCCTCCCAGCCTCGAGAACGCCAAACATAGTATCCTTTTGCAATCACGGCATTGATGAACATGCCTGTCTTCTTGGTGTTTCGTGGTCACAGGACACTTTCCATCCCTTATTGTCAAACTTTCCAACAAACTTCAACTGATTAAACATCCTCAAGCCCGATCTTCACAATGATTTGAAGGTGAACACTCGACCTTAATTCCCAATTATTTCAACTCTTTATTCCTCCTCAAAAGTGTTTTTTTTCAATTATCCAATTCCAGATTAAATCAGTTTCTAAGATCTGGCCAAAATTTCCGCATGCATGTCATGTTATTAGAACTAGCGAGAAAAGAACAAAGAACAGAATGACACAAAAGGACAAACTGTATTTTATTGAGTAAAGGATGAAAGGGCTTGGCGACAAGACAAACAACCTAATATCCGAGTTACAAACCTAAAATAACCCGGATAATGAAAATAGCAACAAAACAGATAGACATGACTCATACAAACAGAATAGAAGGATAGAAGGGTTTGACTCAATAAGAGAAATAAAATCTGGATCACAACTCTGAAATAACCCAGATAATAGAAAAAACATCAAAACAAGCTACCAAGATTCCTTCCTAGTGAGGAGAGAATGACTTTCAATTGCTAAACTTGACATTTAGCCACAAAATTGCTCATTAGAATCACCATGGCCTTCTCCAATTTCAGTCGGCAAGTTCCCGAGAGGATTCTCATACTCCATGTCACAAGGCATCAACACCACAAAGTGTGCATCATCATGTGCAGGTAAAGGATTCTGCGTGATATTCTGGGTGTCACTGTCTTGGATCACAATCAGGTTTTCCTGGATCATCCTTTCTATTTCTCTTTTTAAATCCCGACAGCTTTCAACATTGTGCCCCTGGGCATTGGAAAGGTATTCACACCTTTTAGAAGGGTCAAAGCTTCTCGCACGTGGGTCCACATGATTTGGAGGAATAGGTGCAATCATGTCATAATGCTTTAACTTCTCAAATAAGCTTGCATAGGACTCTCCTATTGGTGTAAAATTATCTTTCAACCTTTGTTCCCCTTTATACCTCTGGCTTGGATGTGGGTTATAGGGCACCTGAAAATTTTGTGGAGGCTGGTGGAGATTTTGCGGTGCTGGTGCTCGCCTTCTGGGGTGTTTTGGTGGCTGGCCAACATACTGAGGTGGAGCAACAGAGTATTGTGTGTTCTGAAGTGGATAGTAATGCTCAGGGGAGTCATGGAAAACCTGATGAGGCTGCGCACACCTTCGAGGTGTTCTCCTGGGACCTCTTCTCGACCCTGTTGTCATCATGATTTCTTCATCCTTCTCATTTATGTCACTAAAATTATCAGATTCAACCTGGACAGCCTGAGTTGCGGCTTTAAGAACTGCTTGACTTATAATTTTGCCTGTCTTAAGACCATTCTCTACCATTTCTCCCATTTTGATTGCTTCCGAGAAGGATTTGCCAACTGCGGACATCATGTTTTGAAAGTAATCTGGCACTTGCGCTTGAAGGAAGACAGTGATTAGCTTGTGGTCATCCATGGGTGGCTTAACCCTAGCTGCTTGCTCTCTCCATTTAATGGCATATTCCCTGAAACTTTCACTTGGTTTCTTCTTCAGGTTTGAAAGGGAATTGCGGTCTGGGGCAATGTCGATGTTATATTGGAACTGTTTGACAAAGGCCTGTGCCATGTCATCCCAGACATACCAGCGAGATGTGTCTTGATCCAAAAACCATTCGGATGCTACTCCCGTAAGGTTTTCCCCGAAATAAGCTATCAACAATTCTTCATTTCTTCCCGCACCTCTTAGCAGATTGCAATACCTTTTTAGGTGGGATATGGGGTCTCCATGTCCATCATACTTTTCAAATTCGGGGATCTTGAAACCAGGTGGCAAGAGGACATCGGGGAACATACATAGATCCTTGAAGGCAATACTCTTCTGACCTGTCAGCCCTTGCATGTTTTTCAACTGTTGTTCTAGGCTTTTCACTCTTTGGGTCATTTCTTCCTGTGCCATCTTTCGGGCAGGCTTCTCAATATTTGCAGGAAGATCAAACAAGTACGAGTTGTACTCAGGAGAGTGGTACTGCTCTTGCTGTGTAGCAAATTGTGACTCATGACATGGCTGACCTTGGCCATTGGCCCATGCTTGACACATTTTGGCCATTTGCTGTTTCAGTATTCTATTTTCCTCAAACCACATTAGACTCTTGCTGAACCCTCTGACCCGGAGCCTCTTGAGCATTTGTAACAGCTTCGATGTCAGTTGTCATTGACATTTTTTCCTTGGATCTAGTGTTGTCCGCTTACCACAAACCGACCACCTCAACTTACTTCACAATTCAAAACAAAACATGTTAGAATGGACTCAGTCAGTCCTTATTATTATCAACATCATTTTTTTTCTTCTTTTTTTTTTCATTTTTTTTCATTTTTTTCTCATTTTCCTTTTCAATGGTTGATCGAACCTGATGTGGGTTGCCTACGTATCACGTGGGAACATGAATCAGATCTTGCGTAGTTCGGGAAGACTAGGAATAAAGTAAATTAACTAACTCTTTTTTTATTTCTGAAAGAAAGACTAATAAAGAAGAAAGAAAATATTTTTGGATTTCTACTTTTTTTTTGAATTTCGAAGAAAAAAAATCTAAAGAAGAAAGAAAATATTTTTTGATTTTTGGACTTTTATTTTGAATTTATGAAAGAAATGCTTCTAAAGAGAAAAGAAATTATTTTTGAATCTTGAATTTTTTTCAATTTGTGAAAGAAGAATGAAAATATTTTTGGATTTTGAGAAGAAATTAAAAGAAAATATTTTTGTATTTTTAAAAATAAGGGTCTAAAAGAAAGACTTTCTAAAGAAGCAAATAATGAAAAATATTTTTGGATTTTTTGAAAATGGTGGGCCGGAACCGATGAGGTTTGCCTACGTATCTCACATCCGGTGAGAATCAGACCCGCGTAGTTCGCCCATTTTGACGGAACAAGAAAAACATGACTTATTTTGAAATGACTTTTCTTTTTCTTTTTTTCTTGTTTTTTTTTTTTTTGAATTTCGGGAGAATTTCAAAATTTTCTAAATACCTACCTCTCACTTTTTTTTTGATTTTCTTTTTTTTTATTTTCTTTCCCTATTCTAGAAGCCAGTCAACATGCAAGCCTGAACAGACAGATACGCAAGTAGCACGTAAGATGCATCAGGATGGTCTTTTAATTTGGGTACACCTGTCCTAGACGGACCCAACCCCTGTGTTGAGTTCCCAAAGTCAAATGCACATGATGCAAACAAGCGTTCCTACTAGGGATCCGGCATGAGGCTTTGTTATACTAGGTTTAAAACCTGGGTTTATTGTTCTAGACCTAGCTTACCCGAGCGGACAACTCGAGCCGGGGGGGGTGGGGGGGGGGCAGCGTACTGGAAATGCAGAAGCTCCACCGGCTTTGTAACTTGTCCAAACCTCGTTCTAAAATGGGATAAGACTCTAGACAGAAGAGAAGTCACACGAAGTGCATCCTTCTCCTTGATTTAGAAGACTCGCAGAGAGGAAGGGTTTCGTAGCAGTTTATATACAGTTCACACAATATCAAAGCGGTAAAAGCATTGAGCACATTAGGCTTAAAAATGTAGGAAAATCAGATAATAAATAAAGCCAATCATAACAGCTATTCTAAGCTCAAATTCTTAAGCCCTGAATCGAAGTTCTGGGTTTGGATCCCCAGCGGAGTCGCCAGAGCTGTCACACCTCCTTTTTACACACCCGAAAGGGGTATAAGGGAGTTTTTCCAATTTAAGTGACATTATTCGAAATGGGATTATTTATTCATTTTTTGTTCAGAGTCGCCACTTGGGATGGTTTGTTTTCTGGTGTCCCAAGTCACCAATTTATTTTAAATCCCAAATCGAGGAAAATTCGACTTTCCTTGTGAAGTCTACGAACCAGAAATTCTGAATAAGGAATTCTGTTAACCCGAGGGAAGGTGTTAGGCACCCCCGGATTCCGTGGTTCTAGCACGGTCGCTTAAACTATTACAATTGGCCTATTATCCGATTTTAATACATGTTTTAACATATGTGCATTTTAAACTTTAAAATCGCTTTGAATTATTTTAAGGAAGATTTCAACGTCGTCTAAAACATGTCTTTGGATCGCGCCACATGAAATGCACCCGCAATCCGAAGCATATTTTATTCGACGTTGTTAAGATTTGGATTTGGATCACATGAAATGCACACCCGAGTTTAAGGAAGTTAATTTAAATAGCGCGTCTAAAGCAACTACGCACTTTCAAGTCTGCGAGGGCCATGGAAAGTTTAGCTAAATGGAACGCCTCGATTTCTAAGGATTAAAATTAATTAAGCGAGCGCCATGCATTTTGGGATTTTATTTGGCATGGCGCACCTCGATTCCAATTCCAAAGGGTTTCCAAATCTAATTTTGAGGGCCATAAGATTATGGAATATCATTAGTCAAATGTGGTAAATTGATAAGAGTCTAAAAATACTACAATATCTTTACTACTAATATCCATTTCGAGACAGAATCGATGAGTGAATCCATCAATATAGAAACAGAGCCTTTTAATTCTCTTTCAGTAAGAAAGGATTAGTTGTAGGATAGGAAAAGGACAACACGATATTATGACTCCTAATGATACAGATCGAGAAGTTATATATTAATCAACACACGGAAATCAAACATCAATTCAACAAAAACCAGTATTAGAGTAAAAGATGTGAAACACAACTAAACTAAACCAAAGTTGATGAAAGCTCAAACAATGCATTTAACAGTAAAACTCCACCTCTAGATATCATGAGCAGCAGAAATATACACACACAAAAGATCATTCGAACAACACATAAGAAAAAAAATGAAATAGAACGAAGAGAGGAAAAAATTGACCTCTATTATCTCAGAAAATTCGGCTGCGCTCCATAGCCGGGAAACAACCTTCAACCACAGACTGGCAATAACCTCGAATGGAAAACACGACCCAGGAAACAGAAAACTTGCTGGTTGGAATCGCTGACTAGAGGCGACGACCAAAAATTAAAACGGGAACAGAGACGAAGATTTGAGCCGACCTTGAACGTCTACCTCAAACCGTTTCCGACATCTCAGCTCCACATAAACCTCCAATCAAGATTCAAATGGAATCTGTGAGTTTGAAACTGTTATGGTGTGCGTTCGTCGGTTTCAATGGTGGTCGTTTGTGTGTTGTATATTGTTCACAGCGTGAGAGTGGTGGAGGGGTCAGCAGCTGCGGCTGGTTTAGGTGATGGAGCGGCTGTGGGCGTTGGAGTTTCAGGGGGTCGGGGTCTCTTTGTTGTGAATTGATGAAGAAGATGAAATCAGGGGTCAATTCCCTTTGTGTTAGGGCAGATTCGAGGGTCTTTCATTTATTTTTTTGGTTTTCTTTTGATTTTTTAAGAAGGCAAACGACTGATCTTCGAGTCTCTTTTTTGTGTTTTTTAGCTCATGAAGGTGACGAACAGTAGCGATTCTGATTTTTTTTGTTGAAGACGGCTGATCCCATATGTAGGGGTGTTTTTGGTGTTGAGGGTGTAGGTTTATATTTTAGGTATAGCTACTATTATATAGGGGTAGGGATTAGGTTAGGAGTATGGGCCTAGGGATTATGGGCTAGGGAATTGGGCCAAAGACTAAAAAAAACATGGACTACAAGATTTATAAAGACGGGATAAACCAACCTAAAACTAATTCCTCCTTCTAAAATTATGTACAATTATAATATAAAAATATAAAGCTAATTTTAATTAATTGAACTAAACTATAAAACATAAAACTATTTTTTTGTGTTTTCAAGATTATATAAAAATAAAGATAAGGTACTATTTTTGTATATTTTTTATTTAAATTTACGAAATATACGTAAACTAAAATATTTTTTTTAATTTTTATTTTTTGCGACGAAATAAAGTAAAAGAGTCAAAATTAGCTGAAATGGCGATATTAAACCTAAACTAAATATTTTACGCTAAAAATATGTAAAATCTTGGGGAGGGTCAAAAATCACATGTCTACATCGGCAAGAGATTTTGCGCAGAGACTGGGATGATCATATCGCCTTCCATCAGCCAAGGCGAATGAACTTTATGCCTAACATGTTTGCTCAACCAGAAGATGCTAAAGGGTGGGTAGAGTTGTTTGAAAATCTGAAGGAAGACAAAGTGCAGTGGATGTTCGAATGGTTCCCTACTGAAGAGTTCATCGTCCGATCTCGGGACGCACCATTTCTTATACTCATTGGTCTGAGAGGAACTTATCCCTATGCCCCTCTCCGAGTCACGAGACAGGCAGGAAGACAGCAGGTTATACCAAAGGTCGAAAAGATGAGTCACTTTAGGGCCGGCTTCCAAGACGACGATAGCCCATACAAGTGTCAAGCTCAACACATGTGGCACTGCAA